GTAAAAGAAAAAAAAAGAAAAGCGATTTTGAACACAGTTTAGTTTCTTGCTAAAGAATGTCTGTACTTTTTTCTCAATTAAGGTAAACAAAATGCCATTCTTTTAAAATGGCTTTTTGGATTTTTTTTTAATGTGTAAGGCATTCACTTAGGTTTACTAAAAGCATCACCCAAGATGATATTAATACTTAATGATTATGTTTGGATTGGGCTAAAGAATTTATAGAGCTCTTATTTAGTTTCCTGTAAAGGAAACTGACTAAAAGTTGCAGGTTACAGAAGCATATTTATATCACTGTTGGATAACTTTTTATGGTCATTTTTATTAAAATCACGAAAGGGATTGAACCCATCTCTTACCTATGGATCCCTTTTCTCCCTTCCTAAATTCTCCTCTTTGGCTCTCAAACGCCAGCATCCTGCAAGATCATCATGAGGGGTTTTCGAAGGAGGGTCCGGAGGTTGGAGAAGGAGCAGGGCCCTTTCTGTGGGGATGCCTTCTGGCTTTTTCCTTACCAGCCCTCTGGGTTCTGTTTCTCTTATATTGGCCTGGCTCTTCACAGCTGCTAGTGGGATCCTCAGTCTTACCCATAAATGCTTCAGTTTGTCTGACCTGCCTTACCATGCAGTGCATAGGAGGGAACCTGACAAAGCTGCGAGTATTTTGACAACTTTCACTGGGTATCAAATGGGGGCTGGACATGCTAGAATAGAAATGAGTTTCCTCTCTCACACACTCAGCTGACAGCTAGGTCTACTGAGGCCCATCCTGAGCAGAAGTCTCCTCTACCTCCCTTGGGTAGAGGATCGCAAAAAAGTCTGGCAAGATTTCCACTGGCTTAAAATTTCTAGAGTCACCATTGAGGTTTTCCACCTTGTATTTTGTTCCATCCCAATTAAGGGGGGAGGGGGGCAGAAGAGAATGTCCCCCCAGGGAGCATATTAGAATCTTAGGAAGCCACAGTGTCCTGTAAAAGCATAAAACACCCAGTCCTAGATTCTAATGTGTATGTGTTCACCTGTACCTTCTGTTCTGCATTAAAAATGCTTTCCAGTGTATTTTTTGTTCAAGATTTCTTTGGTTTTTCTCAAGTATCTGCAGCATCATCTTCTAGATTATCTAACTACCTATCAGTTTAGCAATTAGAAGTAGTGTGGAAACCATTTCCTAATTATGTATTCACTCAGTGTCTGTGTTTTACTTTTATAAACAGCAAGAACACTAATATCTTGCTCACATAGATAGGCGTGCTTGTAATTTGTCCAAATGTTCTGTATCAACCGAACAGTTTATTTTCTTCTTTGTATATTTTTTTATAGATTGACCAACCTCGACTTGGCTTGCCTTCCAGAGACTACTATGAGTGCACTGGAATATATAAAGAGGTAAAAACAAAAAGCCAACAAAATAACAAAACTACAGAATCATCTGGTGTAAATTCATAAAGAATGAAAAAGACTAAGGTCAAATTTATTTATATATTTATTTATTTTTTAATTTTTCAATGAAGGTACTGGGGATTGAACCCAGGACGTCATGCATGCGAAGCACAAACTCTACCACTGAGCTGAACCTTCCCCACTAAGGTCAAATTTAAATTTAACCCTCTATGTTCTTCACTCAGGACAGATACTGAAAATCACATAGTGAGCTTTCCTTGAATATTCTCAATAGGATGAATGAAGGTTTTTTAAGAAACAAAGAAACTTGAAATGTCTTGGTTGTGTCTTGATTCTTAGTATTTAAGTCATGTGACTTGTTTTGAAAGGTCAATTTTAAATGTTTTATTTTCCCTATAAACTGGATCATTTGAAAAATGAACAGATGAATCACGGTCTAGGTTGGTGTCAGTGAAGACCAGGGAATGGTCCAGTGTGAGATACATCTTACTCTGCAACACCTGTCCAGAGCCTTCTGATTTGACTTTCAGAGGACTACCCAGGTAGGGGCATCAGGTTCAGACAAACCTTTGCAGCCACCTTCTGAATCTGATATTAATCAGACCCCACAGAACGGCTTCTGATTGTCCCACAGCCTCGCCTCCCACAGGCTGCTGTTGATGTGCTCTTGCTTCTTGATGTAAAGGAAGCACAGGAGATAAACTTAGCAGTGTGGCATATGATTAGATGTTTGGGGAAGGTGTTGGTTCCATAAATGTTTTCCTCATTGTTTGTAGCTCGGAAGTAAGTTAAATTTACTTTGATGATTCTAATGAGTCACCGTGTGCTGCTGTGGCTGAAATTACTTCTTAATTAAAATCATTAGCTCTGTATGTTTATGCTGAGCATTTATTTTGCCTAATTGTTAAGTTCAAATAACACGGAATAAATTCACTGTAAAGTATCTTTTTGAGTGACTATGCAACATCGAAATGAGGGAAAGGAAATATTATAGAAGTCCGTAATTAATAGCACAGACAGTCAAATGGGTGTGGGATATTCGAGTTAATCACAGTCTAGGAATTGTGTGGGTTGCAGCTATTGGCTTTACAAGCTGTCCGGTTGCTTCCTATCGCAGAATCGAGAGTGATTGAAGAATTTTGGCTCATTATACTACATTTTCATTGTCATTAACTGGGATTATTTTCAAATTTAGGACTATGTCCTAAAAATATAAAAAATTTGTCCAATCCTAAAAAGGTGTACTTTTTGAATTTTAACGTTCCTGATATCAAAATATAACTGGCAGTCAGTGCACATATTTCAAGTGGTAAAATTTCTTTTTTTCAATTTTTTTCTTTTGGAAAGGATCCTGTTGTTAAGATGATGATGTATTTCTGCATTTCATATTCAACGCTATTTTGTAATCAAGAAAAGTTCTTAATCTAGAGCTGTCCATCATAGGCTTGAGTTTGATACAGAGGCATTTTGTTTAACCTTCAGTTTTGGGTTTTGTTTTTTTTTAAATTTTAGATTGGTTACCAAGATTTTTTAAAAATGGAAGATTTTACTTGAGGATCCAGATCTCTTGATAAATTAGTAGAATTGGAAAGCCTAGGCCTGCATTCCTGTGTGGTAATTGGACAAAGTTGTGTTGAGGTTGCCCCTTCGGACAGGGCCTTTGTTCTCCAGGCTTGGGCAGTCCTCATCTAGATGATTCATTGATTTATACTGACTTCCTGGTCCCTCCAGGCACTTGAGTATGCAAATTAATTGAGTCCTACTAATTCATGGTGACAAAGAGACCCCAAAATCCTGTAGCTCAAACGAGAGGAAAGTTTATTACTGTCTCCTGTTCTAGTCCAGGTGAGGTAGGAAGCTCTGTGCCTTGGGAATGGCCAGGACCACACTTGCTTTAACCTGTTGCTCTGACATCATCCTTTTCTAGTGTTTTATTTGTAGTCTGCTTGGTCAAAATTGGTTCACCAGTGCACTGTTCACATCTTGCGCCACAGGAAAAAGAAGAGAAGGAAAGTGATAGACAAATAATTTCTTTTTATGGAAGTGATGCAGAAGTTGTATACATTCCAGTGGTTAGAACATTGTCATGTGTCCACAAGAAAATATTAAAGATTCTGAGAAATGTAGTCTTAAGCTGGTTGACCATGTATGTGCCTTACTAAAATTCCATCGATGGGGACAAGTTTCTATGAATAAAAAGAAGGAGAGCTACCAAAAGATCCCAAAGACATTTAGCAATCTTTTTCACTGATTGTATCCGCTGGTCTGGGAAATGCCATATTTGCAGTCAAACAATGAAGTGATGATCAAATCTAGAATTACTAATATGTTGTGTTTATAGAGTTTGAGTGCAAAATCTAAGGCCCAGTGGTTTGCCCTAGAACGCTCGGCCAAACAGTAGTAGAACCAGAGGTTGAACTTTTGTCCCTGTCTCTTGCTCCTTCTATTACCTTGTTCCAACTTCCAAGAGTAGTACTCATACTAGTCAAGTTCTTTAAATGAGCGAATAATTTGGAAGACTCAGTGGCAGTGGCACTTTCAGCCAGGAAGTTATTATCAGCTGGAATCAGGTGTCCTCCAACCATCTGGATTAGAGTAGCAAACACACAGCATGCTCACTGCCTTGCCCCGCTTCCGTGACTGTGGCTGCTTCCTCCCTGACCCCAGAATACATCTCAAGTCTGTGCTCCAGGCCGCAAGCTGCCTCTTTCCCGTTGAAGGGATTTGGCATATGAGATAAAATTAGTCATCTCCTAGAAATGGGTAAATTCTAGAACATTTCTGTACCCTCCTCATCTTAAAATCCATTCTTTTGGGGTGTTGGAGGGAGGGGAAGAGTGCCTAGCCATAGAAAAAGTTTTCAACTTTCTTCTTAATTCCCCATGTTATTTGCTACTTTCCCCAGTCACTACCACCTGTAATCTCTCACTTAGCTCCTCTGCATCCACAGCCAGCTATCAAAAAAAGTTAATTCTTGTTTTTCTAGTACCCTGCTATCTCTGAAAGTAGTCAGTCCCTTCAAATATTTTTTTCTCAGAGTTTTATTGCTTCATGAAAGAAAAAATTGTGAAAAAGATAGGGTATCACAGTAACATCTAGTGGAGAAGTTATAAAGCTGGAAGAAATCTATCATAGTATCAGTGTAACAATGGTTTTCACTGATTTTTTTCACTTTATATACTTTATTATATGCGGCTCCCTTTGCCCGAACCATTCCATAAACACATACCATCTGCTCAGCCTTCCTCCATTTCTCCTCATCCTTTAAATCTAAGTTTAAACTTTACTTCTTCATGAAGGCCTTCCCTGGAACTTTTGACTGGATGAAGATACCTATATATTCCCACGGCACATGGGTTTCTGAATACTTTTTTATTTAATGTGTTTTACTTTTCTAGAGAACTGTAAGCATAGCAGGAGCAGTGTCATGTCTCACTTACCCTTTGCTTTGGTTCCAGTACCCAGCTTGGTTTCTGGCCCTTAGTAATTAGCAAATAAATGTTGCTGAAACTGTGGATGACCAGTTGAGGGGGAAGATGTCAGGGAGAAGAGGAAAGAAAAGGAAGACAGAAGAAGCCAGCCTCTCAGATCCTCACCTTGACTCTTAGAGAAGTATGAGGTCTAGGGCATCAATGCTAATGGAATGCATTTCCTAAGCGTCTTACAAACATCTCATAGACCACGTATCCTTTTTCTTCTTTTCAATCTCCAATTATTTCTCCAATATACTCAGTTTGCTTGAGATATATTTACACATTCAGTAGGTTCCATATTTTTTCATCCCACTTTATTTTATTGAAAATAACCAAAAGAAGTTTTGAGGATTGACATGAGATCACCAACTTTTTTTCTTTTTAACCAAGAAAGGTGCTCAGTCTTTAACTAGAGAAGCCTGGCTTCTTTGCCTGTCACTCTAGCCAATGATTTTCAGACTATAGTGTGGCATTTGGTTTGCAGATATGCCTCAGGGGCTGGGGATGAGGAGGTGTCCCTTTTTGATCAAAAGGACCCTAATTATAGATCTCTTGATCAAATCATTAACCAAGCCCATCTCCCCAGGTTTC